GTATTGACTCAGGGGGGCTGAATAATTTTGCTTCCACTTCACAATTGTATATCACTTTGTGTTGGTCTTTCACATTAAATTCCAGTGAAATATTTTTATGTTTGTGGTTGTAATGTGACAAAATATGGAAAAGTTCAAGGGGTATGAATACTTTTGCAAACCACTGTATTAATACTTTAATGCAGACTTCAGATGTCTAAATAAAGTTTAGAAGCACACACTAAACAAAAACTCTGAGAAGTGTCTTTCTATAGGACTTTATCAGTCTCTCACGTCACATGGCTCTGGGGGGATTTTAGCTCACTATTCTTTACAATAGTTGTTTTAGTTCATAAAATAGTTTTCCAATACCAAGATCACATCTCTCTGTTAAAAATTAAAAATGTCGGGCCTTATAAAATTCAAGTTTTTAAAATTAACTCCTGATTTTTTTATTGAACAAAATGAAAAAAAGCCACCCATCACAGCATTGGCATAATTTCTATGTATTATATTATCATGAAACTTTCAGCAATTGTTCTTGTCTAATGAATGTTCAGAATGTGTTTAGTATAATAACTATAGTTGTTTTTTTCTTTAACAACTAGTAATAACCATTTATTCTTCCCAAAGATAGCCACAGAAAATTTTATTGTCATTATCATTCCAACATTTTTATGGTGGGAAAAAAATATGCCATGACATATCAAACTGGTTAATCTACAGGTTTTTGAAAACAAATTGTCTGTTAGCGTATTAAACATTTTTTTCACCTTCGAAAATTCAAACAGCTTTTATGAAGCAAAGGTTTTGACCTATGCCAAGCAACTATTTATTAAAAAGGAAGTCAACAACTAGATGACAAATGTAATTCTGGGAGTTTTTATCTGCACAAATTCATTCAAACCCACTAACCAAGAACCAAAATATTTTTTCCCTAAAGGCTTTGCCAGGTAGAAAAATAACTTTCAGTAGGTGTATATTAGCAGCTTTCTTACAATGTGATATTGTGTTAATTTGCTTGAATGACAATACAATGTTTGATACCACAAAGTCTGTCATGATACGATTTCAATTCAGTTAACAAGTCTGTGAACGATATGAAGGAATACCATATGTGTTAGGTGGGCATATGATCTCAATCCACATCGACCATAGGATAATATTAGTAATATTTTATGAAATAATCGATTACGCAGATTATAAAAACTTGTCGACGTGGAATTTTATTATCGGAAATTCTTATTATTTAATCACGCAAATGTTCATTTAACATGACCTCTTGACTCTACAGGTCACTTCTAACTGAACTGAACTCTGTTCTGTAAAACGTTTCCTAGTGTCAATCTCTGTCTTAATTTTGGATTAATCTGTCCTCGTCAAACAGATTAGAGATGTGACATTCATGAACAATCCGAATATTTTCAACAGCTCCTTACAACAAACAATCTGTTAATAGTTTTATTTTTTTATTCCTCATTTAATCTTTATTTTTCATCCTTGAACACACAGACAATCCCACTTTGCATTTTATTTTTTTTTTTTGGAAAACAGCAGGGTTTCCCGCAGCCCATTATACAGGCTTTACATGGCTCCCCGCCAGGTTAAGCTTCGTTTGTTTACTCAGAGTGGACGCCGACCAGCGGAGCATGTGCTAAATTAGTAAAGCTAAAAAGCCATCGTAATGACCCTCAGTGTGCAAAAAAAAAAAGCAGTTATAGTCATCTAAAAACTCTTTAGAGTTCAACAATATGTTAAAGAAAAGGGGCAGCTGCAACTCGCTGGACCCACAGAAAAACACTCCATCGTCTCTCTTTCCCAGCCAGCTGCAGGCAGCGGGGCTTTGTCTCTCCACTCACACAAGTAGCCCCTCCCTCCCCTGAACATTAATCCTTTAGGACACAGATATTATAGCTTTATCTCCCAGAGCAGCAAAACACATTATTTTCAGTGGTTAGTGAAGTCTTTTCTTATGTTTTTTATTACATTACTGATATTTTACAAGGATTGGAGTTCTTCTAAGATTTTACAAAGATGATTAGAATAAAGAGGATGTGATTAGAAAATTTTATAGTTTATAGTTTCTTTTAAAAATATTAGTTGGTATTTACTTAAAAAAAACATTGCATGTTGAAAATTACTAATGTGTTCATTTCTACAAAACTGTCAAATACTTTTACAAAATACACTGAATTTCAATTTTTACTGATTCAAATTAGCAAAAACCAAATACCATTTTATGTTTAAATATCAGTTTCATGCTATCCTCCATCCATTCTAGGGTTGGGCGATATTGGCAAAAAAATTAATCACAACTAATTGTGGTATTTAGCCGATAACGATTCATTTGACGATTAATCCCCTGGAGTCCCTGGACACCCTTATGTCCTGGTCACATGACTAATTTAGTTGGAAAGATTTGCTCTTCATAAAAATCTGTTCAAAACTGTCAAAATTACAGACAGGCTATATATTCGGGCTATACATCAAATTTAAATAGTGTTGCTAGATAAATAAATTTCAGAATTTATTTTTTTTATGTTTGTTATATTTGAAGCGGAGAGGAGAACCGAGTGGACTGACAGAGGAAATATCTAGTCAATCTGCCTGGTGACATTAATCGTATTAATTGTCAAGTGCCAAAAAATAATCAATTAATGTTTTTCTGACGATTAATTGCACACGATACGATTATGCCCAACCCTAAACCATTCTGTCCTTCTTCCTAATAAGAGTCAGGGTGGGAGCTGAAGCCTGTCTCAGCAGCCTGGGTGAAAGCAGGGGACACCTGGACAGGTCTCCAGTCCCTCACAGGGACACAGACAGAGACAAACAACCATCCACCCTTCCAGTCATGCTAGAGTCACACAGAGAGCTCCAGAATGTTTTAAAACTGAGAACTCTGAGATCTGAGTTCTAAAAACTCTCAAAAAAAGATCAATAATAATGGACTGGAATGGCAAAATATGATTAATTGTTTTTAATAAGTGATTTTAACATTAAGATGTAATCAGGCAGACATACAGTTTATACACATGTGCATTTATTATTATTAATAATATAATTAAAAGGCGAGCCATGTAAATTTATGAATATATCAAACAAGTAGTCCTTTGTGTTCCTCTGTATCCCTGAAGTAGCTCTCTGCCTCAAAAAGGTTTGTGATCCCCACTATAGTTGGTGTTTAACTATTATAAACAAATGTTTTACAATAACACATAATTATTACATTGTCATATTTTCAAATTTCTTGTCAAAGTTAACATTTTTTTGGGCTGTTGGTGGGCTGCCAATGCGGCCCTACCACCAGGCTTTGCTGGTTTTCTGGGGGAAACCCTGAACAGGTAGAGTGGTTCTTACTCCGTCTTTCTCTCTCTCTCTCTCATTAGGTGAAACCCTAGAAGATATAGATTGATGTTTTGTTTTAACTAATCATTTAGTGGATCTATTGATGCGAACTGATGTACTGTTAAACCCCTAAAATTCAGTGGTTGGAACAAAGATAACAGCTGAGTAAAATAAGGATTGAACACGTCAACATTTTTCTCAGTAAATATATTACTAGAGGTGCTAATGACATGAAATTTTCACCAGATGTCGGTAACAACCCAAGTGATCCATACAGATCCATACATACTGATGGTGGTCAGAGGGTCCGGTGGCGCCGGTGCATGGCAGCCTCGCGTCTGTCAGTGCACCCCAGGGCAGCTGTGGCT